GTGACTGAAAAAGCATGGGATAAAACTGGACTCTCTGAACATGGCGAACTATGAGGGCTGATGAGATGCAAAGGACAATGGCACGGGGGTTTGATCCTACGTAATGTGCTGGCTTTGTGGGAGCCCAGCCAGTTTGGATGTTCACCTTCCTAGATATGGACGGAGGTGGGAGGTCCTAGGTCTTACCACAGGGGAGAAAACCCTGACTGCTCTTTGGACTGGAGAGGGAGGGGGAAAGGAGTGGGGGGAGAGGGAGAAGGGTGGGAGGAGGGGGTGTAGGGGGGAAGGAGGGGGAGGGAAATGGGAGGCTGGGAGGAGGTGGAAACTTGTTTTTTTTCTCCTTTTCTCAATAAAAAAAAGAGTGGAAAAAAAAAGAAAATAGAAGGTTTTTGCTTATTATAATATAAAGCATATAACAGGTATATCAAACAATCCTGCATGTCAAGCAGTTATAGAAAGATCAAATATAACTATAAAGGATTTGTTAACTAAACAGAAAGAAATGATAAATACCCCCAAAACAGACTGCATATTGCTTTCTTAACTTTGAATTTTCTTAATGCTAATATAAAAGGAATAACAATTTCTGAGAGACATTGAACAATAGGAAAAACTTCTGAATTAAATAAACAAGTGTACTTCAAGCATGTGTTCACCTCATAAAGGAAACCAGGAGATGTGCTATGTTGTGGAAGGGGTTTTGATCTTGTTTCTAAAGGAGAAGAAATCTATGAATACCATCAAAATTAATCAAGATTCAATTTGAAAAGGCAAAACTTCTTGATAAAGAGAAATGACAGCTCATCCACAGAGGTGATAATCCTACAAGTAGTAAGGAAACCTCACACGGTTTGGGGCAGGGTTCTGTTTTTGTCTTTGCAGAAAAATTTAAAACACCAATCTTTGAGAAGTCAAGAGACTTTGGACATCTAGATACCTAAAGAAGAAAAGATAGCTATCCAGAAAGAATCACAGAGCAAAGAAAAATCTGACTTATGATAGCAATATCCTCTTTAGGGCACCTAAACATACATATCCCCTTATTCTCAATATAATGGTAGTCACAACCCACCGAAAAATCAAATTTTGCTTTGGAGTTGGACTGTGGCTCTCTCCTTTTCTAAATACAATCATGTTGTTAAAAGAAAAACTCAGAGTTTCTATCTCACATCCTGAGATTTACCTGGTGTAGGACAAAAGGAAAATAAAAATATAGGGACTTAGGTTATCAAAACTCTGTTTTCAAAAATTCTACTTCTCTATGGCACCTTTCTTTGAATATATGTCTATCAAAATTAAAACTTTCCATTTAGATATGAATAATGTTTGTTTTCCACAGTGAACAATAAATTTTCCTACAGTAATCTCTGAAGTCTCCAGGAAGAAGATGGAACCCCACAACAATGAATCCACCTGATCCATCTGATGCTATTCATCTGATAGCACCTGTTAAAGATTAGTTTTCAGCTAAAAACTGCTGAGAATTATTCAAATTGACTATCTGAGATGATCCAGTCTAACAGATTACTCTAACTGGGACTTGAGACAAGCCAGGCACTTTCCCATTACAAATAGACTAGACAAAAAAAAAGATATAGATACCTCTCCCAGTATTTCATAATTAACCCAAATTTTTATTTTCAGGATTATCTGAAGATACAATTGCCCCAGGCAGCAAGAAGTAAATTTAAGAATATGATGCCCATTTTCCCTGGAGGTAGGTGGGTAGTTTTTGGTCATTCAGAGAATTATGAATATTTGTCATTGTTTAGGGGGGTTGGTTAGAAGTTATTATTGGTAATGGTCAGGAAAAAGCTAAACAAAGGAAATTAGATTCAAGGATCTAGTTTTGAAAAGAAAAAGGGGGGATATAGATATGATAGGATAAAATCTACTCTGAAAAAAGAAAAAGAGAATAAAGATCAAAAAGTGTATTATTGAATTTACTTTTAGAAAGCAACTACTATTTTAAATGTTTTACATTAGATTGGACTTTCGTAAACTATATATAAATTTCGTATGTTGATTCAAATTTGAGATTAATTTTATTAAAACTTAGGTGACATACATTTCTAATCTTATTCAAGATATTGTTCCTATACAGATCATTTAACAATATAATGCAAGTTTCTAGCCTTTGAAAGTTACTATTATTATTACTACTTAGGAGAATAAGGAAATTCATGTTAGTAATTAGTCACCAATTACAGTTGAACTTGTAGTCACATTAGGTATGTTTTCAAGGACAAACAAAAATATATTTTAGATTGACATGTAATCTTCAAACACTTCAGAGATCTGTAGAATATGGCATTTAAGATGTTTCAATAGCATAAACTCTTTTTTATGACAATGAGAAATGTCTGCTCCTGGCAGCACCATTCTACTTCAGAGAAGATAATGGAAATAAAAAAAAAAGGTTTACTTTCTTTGTGGCAAAAGTGAGCCACTGAGCAAGAAAATGCCATTGCCTCGACTACTGACAGTATGCTGTCCTAATGAGACAAGCAGGACAGAAAAGAAGGTGACTGCCAAACATTGTCAAGACAAGGAGGTACAGCTCTTCAGAATATCCTACATCACAGGAAGTCTGTCAGAAATGCTAGGCCTGTAGGCCAAAGATAAATTCCCCAACATTGCAGAGGAACTTTGGGTGACTATCCAAGCATTCATCTGTTTCAGTCATTTCTCCCATTTTTTTTCTGAAAGCTGCTTGCTTGTACTTCCTGTTTACTAAGTTAGTATTATTTCCTTCTTTTGTCTCTAAGGGAGTTGAACCCTGAATAGTTATAGTTATAGTTTCCTTGTTTAACTGACACAGAAAGCAAGTTATTATAGAAAGTAAATTAGGTACAAGCCTTTGTACTTGTCAAGATAGGGCAGATATGGAGTATTTTCTCTGAATTTGTCAAATGCAAATGGGCTAGACATTGCTGATGTATTTATTATCTGTATATATTTTACATAGTCATTGTGCTTATTGTATATATTTTTATTATATTCATTATAACAGACACTGGTGACATACACCTTTAATCCAAGTAGTCATACTAGTTTGCCATAGAAACCAGGCAATAGTGGTACATGCCTTTAATCCCAGATCTAGGGAGGAATATAAAATGGGAAGATCCAGGTTTCAGACACAGTCTCATTCTGAGGATTCCTGGAGGCAAGATAACCATTTTGGACTGAGATAGAGTCAAAACAGCCAGTGGCTGACTGTTTTGCTTTTCTCACCTTCAGCTTGAACCATAATATCTGTCTCTGGATTTTTATTAATCATGCAACACCAATACACAAGGAATAAAATGGATAAATAAATAAATGTTAAATGAGATTCCTAATTAGAGTTACTGACCAAAAGATTTATACTTATCATGGAGGAAGTGGACAGGGAGGATAGAAAGGGAGTAAAGAGGGGGAACATGAGGGGAAGGAGGGGGAACTATAACTGGTATGTAAAATAAAAAGATTATTTTTAAAAACTAAAAGCAAGCACGACCTGCTCTACCAGTTGACACTGGTTCAGGTCCCAGATCCCACACAGTTAATAAAAGTGTCTCTAACTTCAGTTCCAGGGTATTCAATGTCCTCCTCAGGCATCTGTATATACTGCATGTATGTGCTGCATTGAAATGCTTGCAGGCAAAACATAGATACAGAAAACAGTGCTCGCTTCGGCAGCACATATACTAAAATAGATACAGAAAACATGACAATAAATTAATTAAAATATATAAAAATAAATACTATGTATTAGCACAAGGCTAGAATAGAGAACCTGGGATAATTTCATACTAACATGGTAAATAATTGAGCAAATTACTATACTTCCCTTAATTTGAATACTATACATTAATTACATGCAGGGAAATATCACATAAACCCCATAAATATCTGCCATATTTGAGTATTAACTACAAAAGCTAAAAACTAAATATAAGGGGCAGAACATATGGCTCAGTGATTAAGAGTACTGACTGTTCTTCCAGAGGACCCAGGTTTGTTTTCAATTACCCATGTCGTAGCTCACAACCTTCCATAAGGTCAGTCCCAGACAGTCTGACACCCTCTTCTGGCCTCAGACACTAGACACAAGCATGATGCACAAACATACATGCAGGCAAAACACCTATACACGATAATAAAAATAAATAAATGAACATTAAGTGAGGTCTCTAATTAGAGTTACTGACCAAAACATCAGAGTATATTATAAAATAAAATATAAAAATACAATCATTAATTTAACAGAAGAAATATTTCTGTCATCTTCAGAAAGAAAAAGATCTTTGCAATGAAAGCTACAAACCTAGCTTTAAAAGACTTGGTAATGACTATATAAAAAATAAAATGTTTGCAAAGCAAGGAAAAATATAGGGAGATTTTTGAGACCTTCCCAAGATAATCAATGTCAGCAAGGTAATTAAATAGAGAGGAAACTGTACAAGGAGAAATGAGTGAAGAAAAGGTGGTCACATGAAGTTTCACTAAGACAGAGAACAGAGGATGGATAAGAGAAGAGAAGGGAGTAGGGTTTCTACCAGAGAAGACCACATCACTGTGGACACACTCTACTGATAAGGATATTTCTCATGGCTCCTTTCATGTCACGATTCCTCAGACTGTAGATAAAGGGATTCAACATGGGTGTGACTACATTGTACATCACAGCCACAATGACATCCTTGTCATTAGTTTTATTAGATGAAGGGACCAGGTATAGCCCAATAATGGCTCCATAGTACAGACAAACCACAGAGAGGTGAGAACCACATGTGGACAAGGCTTTGCAGATTCCCTTGATGGAGGGACTTCTCAGGATGGTGGCTCCAATGCGGCCATAAGAGACCAGGATGCATATGAATGGTAGAGTAATGGCCAGTGTACCTAAAAGAAGGATGACCAGCTCATTGACGGTGGTGTCTGAGCTGGACAGTTTAAGTAAGGCAGAGAGATCACAGAAGTAGTGGGGGATGATATTGTCTCTGAAATGAGATAAATGAGCCAAGAGGAGGGTGTGAACAAGGGAATTGGCAAAGGACAAAGCCCAGGACAAAACTACTAGCAGGACACAGAGGCTCTGATTCATGATGGTGGTGTAGTGCAGAGGGTGGCAGATGGCCACATACCTGTCGTAGGCCATGGAGGTCAGAAGGAAGCTGTCAACATTTGCAAGGGATAGGAAAAAATACATCTGGGAAATGCACCCAGCATATGAGATGGACTGACTGTGTGTCAGCATATTCATGAGCATCTTTGGAGCTGTGACTGATGAGAAAGAGATGTCTGTGAAGGCCAAGTGGCTGAGGAAGAAGTACATGGGGGTGTGGAGGTGAGAGTCCAGCCTGATGAGCAGGATGATGAGCAGGTTCCCCAGCACTGTGGTCAGGTAGATGACTAGGAACAGGGCAGAGTACATGTCTTGGTCCTCTGGCTGGATGGAGAGTCCCAGGAGGATGAACTCAAACACTGTGCTCTCATTATCTCTCCTCATGATCTTCATCTTCTGATGTAAATGGAAGATGAAATAGGAAAGAATTATTTGACTTGTACACTATAAAAGCATTATATTAATGACCTTGTCAGAAAAATAACATAGTTTGAGCCACTTAGTCTGCCTGTTTTAATCTTAATACATAGATTTTTGTCACGGTAATGAGCTAGTTATGGTTTGGAAAGATATATTATTTCCCCAACTAGAAAACAACTGAATGCCTTTTAGAGGGAACAGTGAAACATCAAAAAATTATCAAATCAGTTCCACATCCAGTTCAAGGTTATGCTTTTCATTAGGACATTTTTAGATAAGGAATTAGTCGCAGTGTAAATTGGTACCAGCAAATCAAAAAAACAACATGATTTCAATGAAAGAAATAATGTAAAAATTGGGACCAGCAAATAGAAAAATCAACATGATTTTGATGGCTTTTGATCTCTCTTAATTTTTCAATGTCTCTTGAATGCACAAGCCTAATGCTTTATTTCCTTGAATTAAATCCAGATAGAGGAACCCAGGGAGGTTTCTGGGGATTTTAGTGGAAGTGGCATATACGGAGGGTCAAAACCTGAGGTGCATGAGTCTGTGCCAGTAGTATAAGCACCAAGAACAGCTCACAAGCAGCTATGCATTCTTCCCATAGCAGAGCTGTTTCTCCATCCACGAGCTCACTTTGCCTTCACTCTTCCTAGACTGCATAAAATGACCCTGACTTCATATTAACATCTTCAACTCAAACCAAAGCATCTCAAGCAAGTCCACTGAACACCTGGGAGCACCACTTCTCAGCTGAGCAAAGTAAATTCCTCCTGTTTTTCTAGCAAAAGACATGTTACCTGCTTTATTCTTAAGCTGGGTTTGAAGTAAAAAAAAAACACTTTTTATGCATTTCCTGTATGTTTTCTCCATTGCTAAGCTGGAATTTTTCTGCCCCCCTTTATAGTTATTTTCTATCCATGGGAGCAATCACTAAACAATAGGAAAATGAAAACAATAGAATTAGAGTCAATCTCTTAGTGGCTGAGAGAGCTGTTGGTTGTATTCTAAGGGAAGACATGATCAATGACCAAGTTTTTCTCTGTGAGGGGTTGGGTTCTAACCATTTGCCTCTTCACTCTTTCCAGGCTTTAAATACAGTCAATATTTCAGTTCTCCCAACTTGGTCAAAACAGTCTTTGAAATGCCTATATTGTCCTTCTCACTCTGTTAAAATATGCAGTTGATGCATTATTGTCTTAAGTTGATTATAATTTATTTCTTACTCATTTCTGTGTTAGTAACAATTACATTATCATAACAAAAATGTTAGTTATCTATCTGTACCTATGTAGATTGTTTCTAATTATTTGCTCTTTTGTGCAATATTGCAATAAGCAATAGTATTCTTATGCCATTTTATATACTATATATGTTGTATTATAAGTGGGTTTAGAGAAATGCATCCATGGTTTTGAGAATATGTCAAGTCACAGGAGGACAAGGTGATGAAGAAGCTTATATACATTCTCTGAAGATCGTTTAATAGAAGAACAATGCTAGGGACTCTGAGAAAGAAGGAAAACTCTAAGTAATGCCAATTACAGAAATATATTGTTTAGAGGACATTTAAGGAGCAGGAAGATAGGATGTCTAATATGCTATGATAGAAAGTTTCCACCTGTCCAAGAACAGTAACATCTGAGAAAGTGAAGGGGTAGAAAATCTGAAATGGCTTGCCGCCTGCCAGGTAAAATGCAGATTGGAACAAACCAAGAATACTAACTGGTGTGGGAACATCAACTATCGCAGCAAAATCGCAGAGATTTGGGGAGAAATCTGAAAAAAAACACATTATAAACTGTGTGTTGAAGGTAAATGTGAGCATATAAGATGTTTTTCTTGCTTTCTTTTCAGAAGTCAAGATAAGATTAAGAAAAAATATTCACTGTAGAGTTTTGTTTTGTCCTTTTTTCTCAATGTTTGGGTAGGTTCTCACTACAGAGTAAATTACTCTCTAGGGTGGTGTTTGTGATTTGATGGTGTGATCAATGAGATTTGGAATACATACTAGTCAGAGAGACAGACACAGAGAGAAAGAGTGTGAGAGAGAACAAAATCTATGCAGTGAAGCAGATGAACGTACCGATCTGACAGGCCCACTTAGATGATGAACAGATACCTTTCGCTAAAAGTTATGAGGAGGCTTTTCCATTTCTTCTAGAAAGTACACTATACAGGGAAAAAGTGGAATCATCTGAAGCATTCACTTATCCATTGCAACAAACAGAAGAGTAATCATTCCAGAATGAGACATGATAGATACATAATTATATAAATTGTCCATATCTCCTGAGAAATGCATGTGAGCTCACATTTTAGAAAGCATGTAGGGGACATGGAATGCAATCTCTTTCCCCAGATCCCAATTAGAGGAACATAGGATAAGATTGCTTCATTGTCATTGACTCCCTTAGGAAAAGAACTGTTTGAAACAGACATGAGAATCTCTTTACACCTGAGAAATAAAAACAGTAACCAAAGGAAGATTTCCCATCATTTTGTCCTGTTTAAAATATCACTCCTGTGTTTACTTCCCATTTAATAACAAATACACACACATAGACAGACACAGTAAAGGGTAAAACAGAATCTAATATAATTTTAGGGATAATATTTCTAAATGGACACATTACCACATCCAAAGATGGACAACCTACATACCCACATGTAAGTGTGGTTACCACCCCCATCCCAAGAAGCTACTTGTTACAGCAAACAGAGACCATCACAAATATATACACTAGAGGTATCACCAAAGGAGGGGTGACCATCCCACTGAATAGATCTATATGCAGCCCCCACATCTTTGACTCAGGGAACATCAAAGAAAAGGGATTGGAAAGAATGGAGGAGCCAAACACCAGGAAGTCTGCTGTAAAACAGTCTCTCCTAGAAATAGCTTCATAAACAAGACCAGAAAACTGGCAATACCAATAGACATATTACCAATAAAGGGAAAAAATTTCACAGGGCCCTATGTCTAGAAAAAGAACTACAGAAAACTAATGACTGTTGGCAAAAGGACAAATAGCATCTCCCAGGAACTAATCATTTATTGGCTTCCCAATGCAGTGTGGTCAGACTTAAAATGATAAACACACTAATACCAAAATTAGGGTCAGCAAAAAAATATGTATTTGTGTGTATGTGTTAGAGAGAGAGAGAGAGAGAGAGAAAGAGAGAGAGAGACAGAGAGACAGACAGAGAGACAGACAGACAGACAGATAGACAGACAGACAGAGAAATAATAAAATAAAAAGGAGGCTCAACTTCAGAGCAGACAGGGATTGGAGGATTTTAAAGGAGGGCAGTTGGGAAGGAATCTATGTAGGAAAAGGAGAGAAAGAGATGTAATTCTATTTCAATTAAAATATAATAAACTTTCATAAACAAGAAAAAGAATAAAGAATCATTGCTGTAGTGGGGATGTCCCAATATGAACCGTATAAGTATAGATTTTCTGGTTCTATGATTGGAGTCATTTCATTCCATGGGTTTATATGTTTAAGCTTACTCCCTAGTGTGGCAAGGATGAGAGACGATGGTATTTTTTTAAGAGATAGACACCCCTAGAAGGCCACCCTCTGATTGCAGGTGCTGACCTCAAAAGGGATTAAAGCTGTTTTAGTGGGACCATTCTATGGATACATGAACATAATTGACTGAGAACAAGGTTAGGCCTGTCTTCATTGTCTGGCTCTTGTTTCACCCCACACAGTCTCATCCATGTCCCCGACATGACACCATTTTATGTGATGCAATATAATCAAGGTTAAAACGATCAGAGACCAAATTGATAGACTACTTTTATCCTTCCAAACTTCAAAATGGTGAGCAACAGAAAATAATCTAGCATAAGCAGTTATCATAGCAAACTGGGGTTTGGGGATGCAGTAATAATTCTATTGCACAAGTATAAGCAGTCATAAAATTTCTGTTCTTTCCTAAAAATAATTTTCAACCTAAAATTATATCTCGATAAAAGCAGATGAGGGCTAGGCACATGCCATTTGTCAGTTACGTCATGAGCCTCAGAACTGTGACATCACAGTGGTCAGTCACCTTGACTACTGCAGACTCTTCAGACTTCAGTAGCTGGTCTGCCAGCTGCTGTAGCTATCTGTGGTATTTAGTGCCAAGGAGAAAGAAAAGGAGAATTTCAAGTCCATTGAAAGGCTCTCCCTTCCAGACTCTGCTGAAAAGGTATGCTAATACCCACTTTGATCCTTAGGATGGACTGGTGTTCTCAGATGTCCTATCTTCTTCCTCCAGATTATGTGAACTAATTCTTACACTTCAGCTCCAGCTTTATGGAAGTCTACTTAGAATAATAATGTTAAGAGCTGTCACCTAAAGAAAGGATATATTACATCTCAGGGGATGAATTCTCTGAACTACATGGGAAGGAAATGTCTCCAAGTCTCTTTTTTTTTTATTTTTTTTTATTGCGAAAAGAAGAAAAAAAAACATAAACAAAAAACAAGTTTCCACCTCCTCCCAGCCTCCCATTTCCCTTCCCCTCCTCCCACCCTTCTCCCCCTCCTCCCACCCTTCTCCCCCTCCTCCCACCCTTCTCCCCCTCCCCCCACTCCTCTCCCCCTCCCTCTCCAGTCCACAGAGCAGTCCGGGTTCCCTGCCCTGTGTTAAGTCCTAGGTCCTCTCCGTCCATATCTAGGAAGGTGAACATCCAAACTGGCTAGGCTCCCACAAAGCCAGCACATTAAGTAGGATCAAAACCCCGTGCCATTGTCCTTGGTGTCTCATCAGCCCTCATTGTTCGCCATGTTCAGAGAGTCCGGTTTTATCCCATGCTTTTTCGGTCACAGTCCAGCTGGCCTTGATGAGCTCCCCGTAGATCAGCTCCTCTGTCTCAGTGGGTGGATGCACGCCTCGTGGTCCCGAATTCTTTGCTCATGTTCTCCCTCCTTCTGCTCCTCCTTGGGACCTTGGGAGCTCAG